CCCCAAAACCCCAAAACCCCAAAACCCCTCAGCTATCTAAACACATTGAAATGGAGAATTAGATGTTGTGTCCATTAGTCTCAACGACTGCTCTAAGTTCAGGGAATGGCTCTTTCTTTGAAAGGACCAGAATAGATTTCTCATTGGAGATATACCCTTTGATATATCCTTTGTAGATGAGACCAGACAGGATTCATTCCATGCCAATTTTATCAACCTTGTCATACTCATCAACTGTATAATCTTCGCTCTTGACATCCTCCAAGGATTTGTTGTATTGATCTACAAGAGTCTCAATCTGATTGATATGATTAGATTGGTTAGCCTCATAAGCTTTCTTGAAAAGATTCCTGAGAACTATGTTCTTAAGTTTTTCCATGAACAGGAAAATGCCAATTTTAAGGAATTTGTTTTCATATTTGGCCATCTCAGCTTCAAACATACCAAGAGAGCCTTCTTGACATGCCTTACTAATTTGAATGTAGTATGGGAAATTGAACTTTTCAAGCATCTCCTCTTCTTGAAAGATACCAAGCATCATGTTTAAAGGAATGAAGTAAAGCTGAATGTTTCTAAAGAATTTGTCTTTTTCTTTAGTGCAGTTCTTAACTGAAAGGTTCATGCTCTTCTCGGATTCAAGATATTTGTATCTGAAGAGATACAAAAGACCTTCATAATAGTAATATGAAGACTTTACATAATCTGGGAGATGCTCGAATCCATCTTGCATTTTATTCACCCAATCAATGAATCTAGAGAGTGAGAAAAGCATTTACCTGAGACACATCCTGAATTTACCTTCCTTGAAATACATCTCACAGACATGAATGACTGCATAGAAGGCTCCCATTTTTCTTGAATCAGGAAATTGCTCTTTGATAATCTGGCACTTACTGAAGATATTCTCGAGGCAGGTCTTGGCCATCTTAAGCGGACTTTCTGCTACATCTTTAGTCTCCTCTTTAACTTTTTGATACTTATTCTCAGCAGGGTATGCAATATTACTGATCATTTTTCAAAAGGTTTCGATCAACTTGATCGACCAAGAGCCAGAAACTACAGAAGACCTATAAAAGGTCATGTACCTCCTAATTGCTGTATCAAGGAAGCTAAAGGCTTTAAGAATCTCCATCTGGGACTTCTCAAGGATGAGATAATTAGCTAAATTAAATGCGAACTCAGTGAAGTTCTTCTGGTCATCTTCATCATCAATAATCTGTGCTACCTTCATACCTATAATATCTTCCCTCACATTAGTAATCTTTGGCTCCTTTATAAGCTTAATAATAGTGGCGACCTCACAGTTCTCAAAAGAGGCGAGGAGCTTTTCGATCCAAATCGACACATCCATTTTGTATAATTATATTACCCTAGTTGCTAATTTTTGGGGTTTTGGGGTTTTGGGGTTTTGGGG